CCGCCCGCTCGGCCCGGTGGACAAGTACCGCGTGCGCAAGAAGTTCCCGCTGCCGCGCACCATCTGGGACGGCGAGCAGAAGACGCATTGCTTCAAGGAGCGGACTCGGAGCCTGCTGCGGGAGTGGTACCTGCAGGACCCCTACCCCAACCCCAGCAAGAAACGCGAACTGGCGCAGGCCACCGGCCTCACTCCCACACAAGTAGGCAACTGGTTTAAGAACCGGCGGCAACGCGACCGCGCCGCGGCGGCCAAGAACAGGTTAGTGGCGGGGCGCGCGGCCTGGCTACTGCCTCGGCGGCCGGGGAAGGGAAGAGGGGCTGGGATGGGGGGCAGCGGGGCTCGGTACCGGCGGCCGCCGAACGACGGAGAAGCCGCGACTCCCCGGCCAGTCGGAGAAAGTTTCCGCGTGCCCCGGGCGCGCGGGGGAGGGGGGGGCTGTGGGTTTGTCGATTGCCTTGTCCAAGAGGGGCTTTCCTCGGGGTGGAGAGTGTGCGTGTGGCCCGAGCGCCCGCAGTCCCCGATCCCGACCCATGGGAGTCTTGGCCGCGGGCGGCACCGTGCCCGCCTCCCCAGCCCTGCCGCCGGCTCGGCGCTCCTTTGCAGCCTAGAGACAGGGAGGGAAGCAGAGCGCTCCCTGCCATCTGGTTCTTATTTCCACACACTGCAAAACCCGAGAGAAATCCACGGGCATCAGGGAGAGGAGAGTGAACCTGAGTCCCTGCCACAAAGGGAAGAGGCCGGTGGCCACTGCGCAGCTGGCCTCCTTTTCGCAACACTGCACGTTGCCGGACCAGGAGCAGGAGAGCCGGCCGCGGAGTGGAGAGGCCTGGTGTGTGTGTGTGTGTGTGTGTGTGTGTGTGTGTGTGTGTGTGTGTGTGTGTAGAGGCCTAGTGTGTGTGTGTGTGTGTGTGTGTAAGCACGCCTGCATGCACTCGCCCTCCTGGCCGGCCGAGGAGCATCCTTTTGGTCCAATAAGTTGGGAAGCGGGCAGGAACAACCTCGCTGCCGGCAAGTTGGCCACAAAGTCAAAAAGTTGTATTGGGCTTGACCATCTGGGCGCTGGGCCTGGGAGGAGGAGAAGAGAACCGGAGGGAAAGAAGGAGATGGAGAAAGGGAGTAGGGAGAGAGGGAAGAAGGAAGAGAGGAAGTTGGGTGAGAGCCCTGAGACAGAGTCTCGGTCTCCACCCAGCTGGACAGGCGCCGGGCCTGGTAGACCTCCGAGCGCAGGGCCCCCAGCTGCTGACAGCTGCCGGTGGGTGGGGGCTAGGTGGGGGTTCCTGGAGTGTGTCTGGGTCTCAGTGGCCCAGGCCTGAGCCCATGGCCCTCTCACCCCCGCCGATGGAGCCCACTTTTCGCCCGATGAGGGGCGCGCCCAGGCCCGAGCGAAGGCCTCCTTGTGGGGGGGAATTCGGAGACACTAGGTTTAGACAGCCAGTTCCCGGTGGGGAACCGAGCAGTCAGACTGCGTGGTGCTCCTTTCTGGCCTTCTCCTTCGCCCCCTTTCTCTCTCCCTCCTCTTCCCCCACTTTTCCGCTTCCAGCTGCCCTATTTTCTCTTCCCCCTGATCCTGCGCTTTGCTCAGGGATCCAGAGAGCAGAGCAGGCCGATTCCACACGGGAGAGGGGCGGGTGAGAAAATCGCAGCTCTGGGTGTGTGTTTGGGAGCTCGGGGGCGGGAGGTGCCGCGGGGACCCGGCCCGTCCCGGGGCAGCGGTGCAGTCAGAAGAGCCGCAGGGCTGGGGAGGAGGAGCGCCCCGGCCCCCTCGACTTCTGCTCCTCCAGGGCTGGGCGCCCCTCGCCTCCAGCGCGCAGGCCTCCCCAGGCGGCCCACCTCGGGCTTTACCTCTCCCCCGAGATCCTCCCCTGTCTGAGACGCCTCGGGAAGCTCCCGAGAGCCCCGGGAACGGAGCCGATCGCCCAGGTCGGGCTGGGGAGGCTTGC